CCCCCGGACCCGACCTTCGGCTGCCCTGACCCCGTCTGCCCCGACGCTGGGCTTGCCCCTACCTCTGTGGGCCCTGATGCCCTGCCTGGCTGTCTTATATTTTATCCCAGGTAGACAGGACTTTTTGGCCAACTGACAACTCGTCACTGCCTCTGGTGTGACATTCACCCCCAGAACGAGGATGCCATTGACGTAGTGACCTTTGCTAGTGCTGGTAGGTGAATTTCCTAACATCTAGTGAGCAGTAAAAGCAGCCTCTGCCCTCCCGACTCCAAAATTGCTTTCTGGAGCAATTTGAGTCTGTCTCTGTATTCACAAAAGCAAGGCAAATTCAGGAGGGCAGGTGGCATGGCAAAGCGAGGTTCGAGTCCTGGATCTCCTGACTTGCTTTTTCACTTCCCCTCTCTCTCTGAGTCTCTCTCTGGTCAAATTAAAAATAATAATCATATAAACAAAATTAAATACATAATTCTTTTTTTAGAAAAAGCAAGTCAAACTCCAAAACAATCATTCTTGACAGCACTTCTTTTGCTTACGTGTCTCTCCTACCTAATGCAGATAGGCAATCGGTTTAATTTTCTTTTTTCCGAGAGTGACAGTTCAGGGCACCCAGAGGAAAGCCAGGGCGGTCCTTGGGCAGCCGCCCTAGAGCTGGGGCGGGAGTTAGGGCAGAGCACAGCCTCCCTCCGTAGGTTCCAAATGGGCTCCGAGGCCAGCGAGTGATCCATCCTGTGCAATGTCAGAGGCCAGCGCTCAGCCGGGGCTAGGCACCGTGGACCCCTGGTCCACACCCTGGTCGGGGCCTACAGCCCTGTCCTCAGCATGCCGTGAGTCCAGTTGGAAACGAGAAAAGAACGAGGAGGAAGAGTGCCCCGACCGCAGGCAGGGGTGTAGCCAGCACACGAGGGCACAGGCTGGCCTCCTGCGGCGGCGGGGAGAGGAGCTGGGCCCTGCAGTACCGTCCAGCAGAGCCGAGGCCACAGCAGAAGTCAGTTTCCTTGGGAAAGTGCCGATTCTAGGTCAGCAAGAGACATTCCAGGAGAGACATTTCCGGCAGTGGGAACGCTGGGGTGGGGCAAACCGTGAGGCCCGCAGCTGCCATATTTAAACGTGGTGTCAGGCGAGGAGGGAGAGGAGGTGGAGAGGCCAGGTAAGCAGGAGAGGGCCGTCAGGGAACCGGCAGCGAGGGGGGGGATTTCCGGCAGCCCCGGGCCGG